AGGCTTCCCCCTGGAAAATCCACTAGCAGCACTGCAAAGCTGTGTGGGAAATAGACTGCACAAGAAATAAGATCTAATGCAGAGAGAGAGAGAGAGAGAGAGAGAGAGAGAGAGAGAGAGAGAGAAAGAGAATGAGAGCTCATGTATAATGGCATAATTTGTCGTGAACATCCTTTATATACAGAGTTATGAATATTGTGCTATGAATGGATAATTATGAATGTAATGCATTCCACTATTATCATGTATGTAATAAATAAATTAAAAAAAAAAAAACAAGAGGTGCCAAGAGTCTGCCTCTCCTGACTAGCTGACATCCTCATCAGCTCTTGCTTGATCTCAATTAGCATTTGAAAGGCTGGGAACCCTCCAGAAAAGCCTGGCCTTCAGAAATGCATCAACTCTGTCAATCATACTTCCTCAGACCAATCTTGTGTCTTTTCAACTAACTTTAGTCATTGTCACACATGAAGACTGGGACAATAAATAACTTATTTTTCATTCCCCCAAGGGGTTGTTCTTTATAAACTGATCAGATATTCTACCACAGCTTTATGTGCTAGAGACCCTGATCAACTGTTGATGATGCAGAATCTGACTCAAAAAGTAAAGTGCTGTTCAGCTGTCTTTTCTGAGCCAAGCCATCACATGAGAGAAAGAGGAGCTGGCTGGGAGTCACCATGGCAGGATTCAGTGTCAATCGTCATCTGCCCACCTAGGGCATGCCACCTCCCTTCCAACTACCAAATCGTGGACTTCTTTGCTTCAAGATTTGTTCTAATCACAGTAAAGCTGGGGGGCCCCGGAACAGTCACCCTCTGGGAGTAGCACAACTTAATACTCCAGCCCATTGAGTGGGAAGACTAAGGCACATGATTTCTTCTTTCCCTGGTGAAAAGAAGCTCCCATCACACACTACGGTGACTCACTCCTTAACACAGTCTCTTAGGCCCTTTGCCTATCTCATGTTCTCATGTCCCAAAAACCTTGCCCTTGAACCTTATTTCAAGGTCAACTTCCAATGGGACTCAAGCCATGGAAAACTGGAACTTTTTCCAGTTAGACAAGAGGAATTAGGTATGTGAGATCTATTGTACAGTATGATGAATAGAATATGGTAATAATAGGATATATTTCAAAATCTCAGAGTAAGTTTCAAAGGTTATCACCACAAGAAAAAGTATTTGAGATTATGGATATATTTATTAGCTTGAATGAATACTTTTTCCTGTGCATATGTATTATCATTTTTTATCCCATAAATATATGGAATTATAATTTCTCCATTTGCAATAAAAATTTTTAAAACGTCCCTTGGTGACTCCATTGTGTCTCCCTATAGTTTTCACTGCCACTTCTGCTATAAATGATTTCATTACACCCCCCTTTTTTCCTTAGGTCTTCACTTTGGGGCTTCTGATCAATTCTCACAAATGGTATTTATATAAGCAAATATAATTTAGGCATTTAAGAGTGCACCAAGAGGATCAAGGAAAACAAGATCAAGAGAAGCCCATGAGAGTTACTTAGAAACTTGTTTGTGTGATAACATAGAAAAAGAAAGCTGAACCAGAACACAAGAGAATACAGTATCAGTATAATTGTACATACTTTTATCTCCATTCATAAGTCTCATACTCAATAAGACAATGTCACAGGACAGTTGAGATCAAGGAAAGTGGCACCAGATTGTCAGGACCCAAGAGCTGGCTATCTTTGTCCAGTTATTAAATTTCCCTGAGCGTTATCTGTAGTTTCCTCATCAAAGATCTGGGGGAAATAATGGCACCTACCCATAAGGTCATCATGAGAATTAAATAATTAGTATTTATAAGGCACATAAAACACTACCTGGCACATAGTGCTGATTAATGAAGAAATCTGGACCTCAATAACTTCAATTAGATTCTCACAAAGTTGCTTGTAGTAGACACAATATATCCTAAGAAGAATTCTGCAAACATGGTGTTTAGCATAGTGTTTTTAGAAGGAGAAGGAACATCTAGATCTGACAAACACCAGAAGGGGCGGTAAAGTCCACAGCACACTGGTGCCATCATGACCCCATTCCTTCCATTCTGTGACTCTCCCATCCACTGTGTGCAGCTTTTATGCATCTTTTTTGAAGGCAGAGCCAAGGAAGAAGCTGCTTGTCCTCAAGGAATGCTTTCTTTGTAAAGCAAAGACCAGAAAAGGACAGCCAGGCATCCCGACTCCTATGTGACATTCAGATTTTGAGAATTGTGTTTTTCAGCTTCTAAAACTAAAAATACTCAGAAGGAGCTGAATGAGACAATGGACACCTCCCTCACAGCTGAATGCCCTCTGGTTTCATGGCTAGGTTTGCAGTTTAACTTTCTAAGACTGACTGCCCGTGGTCCCAGATATCGACAGAAAACCAAATTGGAAGAGACTTAGGAAAAACATTTCCATAGTCAGGACAAACTAAGCTGTGTGTGCCAAGCCACTGGCCCCCACAGGGGAGGTTCTGAAGCACCCGCCACTCCCACAACCTTTTCCATCTCCCAGGCTGGAGGCAGAAGCTCCTGCTTAGCTTTCTTCCCTTTGCATCTGCTTATTTCTATGAGCAACAGGAATGACAGGAACCAAGATCCATGAGACAGTGGGAAAATGACTGGAAGTACTTTCAAAGACTCGAGAAATTGCTCAGGGTAATGTGAATGCTGAGAAGGTATTACTGCTTTGTAGAAATAGAGGTGAGGGGTCTGCCTACTGCCATTTAAAGCTGGAGGTAATTATTAATTAGCAATGTCACCTGTCTTCAATTGTAGGTACAGAATGTACATAATGTAACAGTGGAGTGAAAGGGAGATGAATTAAAGGAAAAGGAAGATAAAAAAAGATGGGTGGTAGTGATCATCAGACCTTCTAGGTGACCTCATTCCCTGGATCTCATAATTTTCTTTCCATGTGTCTCCATATCTCAGGTTTTGACATCCAACCCCCGAGACTAGAGAACCTAGTGAGTGCTCTGCCCCTTCCTCCTTCCAGTTCCCCTCCTGGCCAGCCTGGCAACATGGGAAAGTCCCCAATACACCAGAATAAAACTAGCAAATTAAAGATGCATGGATCAGGTTGAAGGTAATTACTTTCCCATTACACAGAGTGTTCATTAATATTTACTAAATTCCTCTTAATTGAAATGTTGTGCTATGTATTTATACTTTTTATACTATTATTATATTTATAGCCATTAGGGACTAGGGGCAGAATATTATGGTTTGGATATGAGGTGTCCCTTAGAAGTTCAAGCTAATGCAATAATATTCAGAGGAAAATAAGTAGATTATGAGATCTATAACCTAATCAATCGAACTGAGTTGTCACTGTAGGCAAGTGGGACAGGGCTGGAGGTGGTGGGTTGCTAAAGCTGTGTCCTGAAATTGCTATTCTTCCTGCAGTTCCTTCCTTTCTGTTCAGCTTCTTAACCCATCATCATTAGAGCACATCTCCTACCCTGGGCCCTGTCCTCATGATGTGCTGCCTCAACGTGAACCCAGAACAGAGAAGTTGGCATTCCATATCCTGAGACCTATGAAAATTGGATCCCTAAATAAACTTTACTGCCACTAAGTTGTTCTTATCATGTATTTTGGTCACAGTGATGCAAAAACTGACTGAAAATAAAGGCCTAGGTCCTTTGGTTTTCTATATCCCTTTACTCTTTCCACACATATAGCAACAGGTTCCTCTGTTGCCATGGTAGCAAACAGTCTCAGAACACAGACTTCTAACAGTTGGATATTTAAGCCACTGGGAAGAAGGATCTGAAGGACTTTGACTTATGCCACTGGATTTGGCAGCATCACTTTGTGGGCGCAGCAATCAGAGCTCAGCGTGACTCATCTTCAATGTGAGTGTGTGTGTGTGTGTGTGTGTGTGTGTATGTAAGATAGAAAGAGAGAGGATAGAGAAAAAAAGAGATATTCTGCTCGTAATTTGCCACACTTACATGTTGTGGCATAAATGAAAATGCTGGAATAAAGATGCCACCATATGATGGGAGAATGGACACTTAAACAGCTCTACTTTCTAGAGAAAGAAATTTAGTAGTAACAACATAAGACATTAACATATTTGTGAGCTTTGGACCACTGATCCAAAAAATAGGAATGTAAAGAGAGAGAGAGAGTCAAGACATTGATTGATAAAGAGGTATTGACTAATATTAATAATAAGAAAATTATTAAAGGTCTTATTAACCTAAGGATCAGTGAATACAAAACTAAATGCTCATTAATAAGTGACCACTGATATAGCATTAATAAGAATAGGATTAAGAATGACACAATGGGAACTGGGGCTGTGGCTCAATGGTATCTCACTTTCCTTGCATGTGTGAGGCACTGGGTTCAATTTTCAGCACCACATATAAATAAATAAAATAAATAAAGGTTTATCAACAACTAAAAAAATATTAAGAAAAAATGCACAATGGTCATATGTGTGTTTCCTGCTGGCTGTACTGTCATATATAATCTCTCTACTGATGTGACTCCACATGTATATGAATGTGTGTATATATGTACAATGTATGTTAATACAATTATGTGTGTATGAAGAAAAAAAGAAAGATTATGAGGAAATCCACCAGATTCTTTTATGAATATCACATATTTCCTCTGGATCATGGCATGAGAGTGGCATTTATTTTCAACTTTATATTTCCTGAATTTTTCAAATTGTATTCAGTTTGAAATATAATATCAAATATCTTGAACTATCTTTCAAATATCTTGAAAAAGTGTAAGTGGAAACAGGTAGAGGTGCTCATATTATACAATACAATAGAAAGAGAAAGGTCTGCCTCTTCTCTTCACTGGAGAACACAAACACAGGACCCACTTCTGACAAAGTGGGTTAGTTATGAATGAAAAAAGGAATGGGAATTATTGCTAAAGTGCATGACTCTCTTCCCAATACCTTATAACAAGGTTTTTGTTTCCTTTGGAAGTTTGCAGATTGAGGCAGAACTTGGATCTGTTCACAATGGAAGATACATTCTACCATAGCAACTGCACTGACAAAGACTGCATTTCTAACTGCAAACCAAACCTGAGCCTCTCTGGAGGCTATTGTCCCTATAAGGACAGAACTGACTGGAAGGACAGTAGCTCCTCAGAAGACTCTACTTCTGAGGCTTCTTTCTGCTACTCCCTCCCTCCTGTCCAAGAGGGACAGCTGACTGAAAGTGAAAGTATGACCATAGGGAGACCAGAACAAATCCATGAGTCAGAGCAGCTTTGTGGACTACCTATTGTCCGTGTTGTGGATGTTTATCTGGGCTCCCACTATGAAGACGCACTAGCTAGTCTCGATCTACACAGAGACTACCAGTGGATGGACAAGTACCCAAAGGGGAGGATGAGGAAGATTCTCTGGAAAACGGAGGTTCTAATGAGATACCTAAACGTATTTCCAGATGATCTGAAAGATGATGATGATGATGATGATGACAATGAAGATGAAGATGATTATGATGAAGATGAAGACCATGACAATGGAGACTATGATGAAGACAAAGATGATGATGATGATGAAGATGAAGATGATTATGATGAAGATGAAGACAACGACCACAGAGACTATGATGAAGATGAAGATGAAGATGATGAGGTGAGCATGGAGCTGCTAGATTTCAGAGCTAGGGATAGGCCCAGTGGGGGTGCCAGGTTTGACAGCTTGGATTCAGTCATTCTACCTGCTGTGAAGCAGAGGTGGAACCCAGTATGCCAAGAGATGAGCAATGAAAGAAGGAAGGCAGCTAAGAAAGGAGGTATGGAGAGATAAATAAGGAAAACGCCAAGGAGCACTGAGAGAGAAGAGAGAGGGGGAGGAACAAAGAGAAGGATGAATAATAATTCTTTTAAAACGTGTGTGTGTGTGTGTGTGTGTGTGTGTGTGTGTTTCTAATGATTATTGAGTACTTATAGTTCACATTTACATTCATGCTATTTTGGTTAAGGAAAAAAAATTAGATTTCCATAAATGAGCAAACATTGACTTCATTGCTGCTGACACTACACATTTCTAACTCATCCTCATTCCCTTCTCAGATGAAAAGCCAGGAGACAGTCACTGAAGACGCCCTCTCAGTCTCATCAGGGCAGTCAATGGAGGGGGACATGCCTATCCACTCAGAAACCACATCGTGTCTGAACATCAGGTCCATAATCCACTGGTTCAGAAAGCGGGTGGTCTCCTCCCTACCTGGGAGAAAGCGCCGACACAGCCTATAAGGACCCCAGTCTGCTGTAATCGAAGAAAAAATGTTTTCGTAGAGGCAAGAGACTCCAACCTCAGTAGCCCCTCAAGTTAGGAAACCCTATATACTCATAGCATTTAAAATTTGTTGAAAACCCCTATTCAATAGTCCCCATAGTTTTATGTTTTTTACAAATTAAAAAATATTGTTGTTATTCATGACTTCCTTCTCTTCCATCATATAATGTGGGTCAAGGTTCAAATTATATATGTTGTCTAGAAGAGTTATATGCATTCTCAGATATCTCAGGTGGTGGTAGGATTCCTAAACTAAAGGCATTCTGTTTCTCTCTCTCAACATCCCTTCTTACTGCATTTGTCCCCATTTTATTTGTTTTATTATTTCATGTGTTTCATCCTCTTTGATCATTAACTCATCTCCCCACAGCCAGAAGGCAGCGGGACACCTGTTAGACTCCCACATGGCAGGATGGTTTTGGAGGAACTTCTGGGTCTTGAGCAAGTGGCAGCAGAAAGGGAGGCAAAGAGGAAGCTCATTCCAATTAATAGTATTTGGGGACACTCAGAAAGCCATTCTGATGATCCTGGGCTGGTTCTGGTATGTGGTTCTATCACCTCCTGGCCTATATGTAGGGATTAAACCCGAGATGCTTAACCATTGAGCCATATCCCCAGCCCTTTTAATTTTCTTTTGAGACAGGATCTTGCTAAGTTGTTGAGGCTAGCTTTGAACTTGTGATCCTGCCTCAGCCTCCCAAGCAGCTGGGATCAGAGGCTGTGCCACCATCCCATCTGCATATTTGTACTTTCATGTGATCAGAATGTTAATCCACATATAGGAAGCCTTTGCTTTTTATTTGCCACTTAACATCAAGTCATAGGTTGTCACACTAAGAAGAGCAACTACTTACTGTTGCATTCAATTTTCCAAATGATAGCTTCATCTCAGTTTTCAATAACACAGTATTGTACTATATAAGTATACTATAATGATACATAACTGTGTTGTTAGGATAATTTTATCCTATATGCAAACAATTTTACAGTCAATGTCCTTTTCAAATTTGTACAAATATGTCTGTAGGACACATTTTTAAAGCAAAATTCCCAAAAGTTAAAAGAAGATACCTAAATTTTATAGTACTCATCAGAGAAAGGTTTGTCTGGCTTTTTGAATTTCATCAATTTACACTTCACATGAGAATACGTTACTGAGCATTTTCTCCAATGATGGGTATTATCCAAATTTTTATCTGTACCAACCTACTAAGAAATATGTCCTTATTTATTATTTCACTTTGCATTTCTTTATTTGCTCTGTTGAATTTTTATTATTTATTATTCTTGGACTGATGTTTCTGACTGTTGCCAATTTTTCTATCAGGTAATATTTCCTTTTCTTATAGATTTATAACACTCAATGTGTTTTAAAAACTGGACCTTTATCTTTTGTACAGGTCACATGTTTTTGCAAATTCCCGTAGGTTTTTGATTCTATAATTTTATTACCTTAAATGATGCTGATGCCATATAGTCCATTTTATCAGTCTTTGGTTACTTACTAATTAAGTAGTAAGTATTATTCAGATGGAGAGAGTTATTCAGATGTAGAGAGCAGTCCAGTCAGTAACTGATAGGCAACAGACGGACAGATGTGAGTAGTGGGACCATGAGATTATAGGAGGAATTCTATAATCTGGACTACTGTGCTGACCCCTACAGGCATTCTTTTACCAAGCAATTTACCTGCAACCCTACCTGGCTTAAGTCAACAGGAACATTACATTCCTCAACAAGATACCTGTTATTTGCAGGAAAAAATGCAACCCCAAAATACCTATAGGAAGAACACCGTTATCTGAGGGAAAGTTTTATGACCCTTACACAGACCAGATCCTAGAACTCCAGGAGATTAGGATAATTTCACCTAATCATAACATCTGTAAGAACAGATTCTTAGAGATTTTATGGTTTCAATTAGAACCAGTCAGCAAGGGCAAATTTGACCTAGACTTGCCCTGAAACCTTGCCATGTGCAATGGGACTTGGAAGTCTGATGCCATCCTTCTGTCAGTCAAAAGTCTAAAGGTGGACCTGGGAGGGACTCTGGAAACTTCCCTGGGACCTACAATAAATGTGGAGGGCAGGAGGGGTACACCTTCCTTCTATGAAGACCCAATCTCTCCTTTGAGAAAGTACCCTTTTCCATCCCTCTAAACTCAATCACATGGCCAAAGTCCTTCCTGTATGATGGCAACAATCAGTGAGAAAGGACTGCCTGGCCACCTCAGCTCCACCATGGGCCCTGCAACACAACTACACAGCACTGTGGCCGGCTCTGTTATCTTTGCTAACCATCCCTTTCATGCCACCATGAGCTCTAGGAGAACAGACACCCTACCCTGGCCACCACTGTCCCTCAACATCTGGATTAGAGCCTCTCCCATGGCAGATATTCAATCCATCTTTGATGAGTGGGTGAAGATTCTATTATAGTCTGAAAGTCTGGATCCCCCAGTCCAAGATTTATATGCTGAAATCCTACCCCTAAGGTGAGGGCCTTGGGAGGTGGGGACTTTGCGAGGGGATTAGATCATAACAGCAGAGACTTCAGAAATGCAACTAAGGTCCTCATAACACAGAATTTAGAGACACCCTCTTCCCTTCTGCCACGTGAGGACACAGTGAAAATGTGCCACCTGACCAGACAGAATCTGATGGAGCCTTGAACTTGGACTTCCCATCCAGGATAAAGAGAAACAAATGTCTCTGATTATAAGGCACCTACTTTTGGCTTTTTGTTATAGAAACCCAGTAGAATAAGAGCTTCTATCAACACCAAGATTCATCAGATACCAAGTCCATGTGACCCCACCCTGACAGCCTCTCTTAAAAAAAGATGTCCCACGAGGAAACCACACAAGGAATTATAATGCTTAACTAAGTTGACAGAAGGGAAAAGGAAGCTTTCCTGGGGTGAGATATTTAAATATATAAATACTCAGAATTATCTGGAAGAAACAGGTGTGGGATGGGTGGGCAATTAATAGGAACTCCCAGTAAAGCAAGAATTAAAGAGAGGCAGTCAGTATAGACAGGATGGACAGCAAAAATGGAGGCTAGTTTGGTTCTGGGAGATTGGAGACCACCCTTGGATTGTTAATGCCTCCAGAGCCCTTTGATTACAAAGATCACCTGCCTATACTGCCCCTCCCAGAATGCTGTTAATGAAACAACCCCTGAGCAGCTAAGGAGTTGCTAATTAATGCCCCTGAGCTGCTACCTGCCTGGATCACTCCATTTGGCCCTTCTCTCTGCCCATATGCTTCTCACCTTTGGCCATCACACCAGTGTCTCCTGAGCCTCCTCAGTGTGCAGAAGGGAGAGAGATAAGGGGAAAGAGGGCAGGAGAACAAAGACAATCTAAAATGTATAAAAGTTGTGGGACACTCCCACTTCTTGGGACAACAGCTATGGCTGGCCCCCTTTCCCCTCCCAGGAGAAGTCTGTGTTACTACTTTTTAAATAAAACTTACTACACTTGTCTCAGAGCACTTCTCTAATGCTCAAACTTTAACATCTGAGGAAGCAGAACTGATAACTGGCAGTTATCCCCAGGAGTAGGGATTTGCAAATATAAAGGGAAAATGTATTTACATACTGGGGCATTTTCATTTTTGAGGGATATACACTAAGAGTTTATCTCTTGATCTAGAAAAAAATAGTTTAAAAGTTAAAAATATTTTTGTGCCTGAAATCACTATGTTCTTAGTGACACACATGTTTATTATACTACTATATTCCTTTAAGAAAAAGTTTCAGGGAATTCTAACTGTGTCAATATTGAGTAAAAGCACCCTCAAATCCTTTCTTAATCAAATGAGATGTTAATAGTTAAGGGAATTGGGTTGGGACCATGGCTCAGTGGTAGAGCGCTCATCTAGCATGCATGAAGCACTGGGTTCGATCCTCAGCACCTCATAAAAATAAAATAAAGATATTGTTCCCATCTATAACAAAAATTAAATATTTTTTTTAAAAAAGAAACCTGCTGAGAGAAAATGCTAACCCAACTTAAGAAAGAAGTCTGTCTCAAGTGTGCCTGTTAATCATAAAGAAAACTGAGACAGCTTCTTCAAAAGATGACAAGACCCACATTTGCACAGTAAAAAAATGTTCTTCAAATAATTCAAGTGCTTTTAAACCCCAAGTGCCATTTTCAAACAGCAAGGGAAGAATAAGAAAAATACGCACCTCACAGTTGTGTTTGCACACTTTAATGCTAGACTAAATGAGTCCATCATAAATGGCAGACTATTGTTAAGTAAGCTTCAGAGAAGATCCTTGTTCTTAGTTATTTCTATAATCATTGAATTAAAGACATAGTAAGTTACATAAAAGCCCATGAAAAGATTTAAAAAATAAAAACCTTCTAAAGTGGTTAACTTTTGAAGATTGGAGATGGTGGACTGGAAGTCAGCTACATTTCCAGTTGCTCCATGATGCAAGTTTCACGCATCAGGACCACTGCTTCCCAGTGACATGAGTGAAAGCAGGAATTGACTGAATTTGTAGCATCACAGAGAGTGTTAGAGAGACTCAGAAATTTGGGTTCATTGACCAAAGAATAAGAAAGAATATGTTGGAGCCAAGCTGGCTATGGCAGCAGCAGCAGTGCTCGTCCTAGAGAGGAGAGGAAAAACAGAGAGAGAAACACAATGGACAGAAAACCTATATATCAGAGAAGCTGCCTGAACCTAGCTGATCCAGAGGCTGCACTGTGAACCTGTATTTGAAAAGTGCTCAGTGATTTTCAACTGGCCACAGAGAACTTGGTCAGAACCATCTGGAGGCAATCTTTGTACAGCTGCTGCTGCAGAGTTGGAAGGTCACAGCTAACACTGCCACACTGTCCCAGGAAGCTTGTGCCATGTGGCCTAGGATGTACCTCACAGAACATGATTAAAACAGGCACAGAGAAGACTGTACCCAGGGGTCAAGTCAGAATTATGGAGGGTTCTCCTTCGAGTCTGGTAGTGCAAATATGACCCTAGTGGCACCCCCTCCGTCACAGAAAATATTAAGCTATTCCAGAGACCCTCACCATAATTGTTCTTAGGTTATCAGCAAGAATACCTGCAAAAGGG